TCCCTTCTATCATCTGGCATGGATCAGCTTACCCAAGAAATAGGAGGACCAGGATCCATGAACATTTCCTTGGTTTCAAACCTCAAGCGCACCATTGTTCAGCATGATGGTATCTCAAACATTGATAAAGGTATACCTTCCCAGATCAGCATGAACGACTTTATTATTGACAACTCTGATGATGAGAATTTGAGACTAGTTCGGGCTTACCAGTTTGCTAACAAACATGGATCCCAGCTGACTGGAACCCTGACAGTGATAACCTTCAAGCGTGATGTTCAGAAAAGCAAAGAATAACCTGGCTGGTGTAGCTCAGTGGATTGAGCATGGGCCTGCAAACCACCACGATCACGGTTCGATTCCCAGTCAGGGTACATGTCTGGGTTGCAGGCCGGTTCCCTGCAGGCCGGTTCCCTGCAGGCCAGTTCCCAGCAGGGGACGCACGAAAGGCAACCATACATTGATGTTTCTCTCCCTCTCTCCTTCCCCCCTTCCCCTCTAAAGATAAATTTAAAATCTTTAAAAAAAAAAAGATATATTCTTTTGGGAACCGGCCTGCAACCTAGGCATGTGCCCTGACTGGGAATCAAACTGCGATTATGTGGTTCGCAGGCCCTCGCTCAATCTACTGAGCTATACCAGCCAGGGCAAAAGAATATTTCTAAAAGCAGAAGTGAGCACTGGGTCATACAGCAGTGAACAGCCATGAGAACAAAACCCCTCTTTTACAATTGTGATGCATAAAACACAAGATCTGAGTTCTGGCCAAGGTGGAGGCATAGGTAGAAACTGTTAGCTTTCTGGCATAGCTGAAAGGAGGATAGCAACCAATCTAAAAACCATAAACAACCAGAAGTGCCAGAAAATCAAACTTCATAAAGCTCAAACAACCAAAAAGTTAAAAGAACATTCACCCAGAGTGGTAAGAAGGACAAAGGCAGTCGGGTGGACAGCGAAGACCCACAGCAAGGTTGCAGACCACGCAGGTGAAGCAGGGATGGCTGAACAGGAAACTAACTGTAAACTACCATGGGGGTTGCCACTGTAGGAGAAACTCCCAGTCTCACATGAGAGGTCATTGAAAAGTTGGGCTAGAGCCAAGCAAATGAGCTGCATTGTTCTCTCTCTGATGTCTCCCCCACATACAGTGCCACAATGCAGCAAAGAGGATTGCCCTGCCCTGGAGTATACCAAAGGTCCTGCCTCCTTACAACATAACAGGTGTCCTGAAACAAATATAGTCTAAAAACTGAACAGTAAAATGACAACAGACTTGTAAATATCAACAACTGAACAACAACAAAAAACAAGCAAATAACTAGAACAGGAACAGATTCACAGAAATAGAGATCACAATGAGCATTTTCAGTGGGGAAGTAGGGGGGAAGGTACAAGGAACAAGAAGCATAATTGGTAGGTACAAAATAGACGGGTGTGTTAAGAATAGTATAAGAACCAGTTCAAAGAACTTACATGTGCAATCCATAGCAATGAACTAAAGAGAGTAATGATGGAGAGTTGGTGGGTGCAGGGTGGAGGGGAGATGAAGAGGGAAAAACTGGGAAAACTAATAGCATAATCAATAAAAACATACTTTAAAAGACGTAAGATTTAGATGAGATGTGGTTTGGGACAGGGCAGGCCTTAACTGCAGGGTTTTGGGAGGCCAGCCTTGGCTGGTGGTGTCAGATGGGTACAGGATTTGGTGATCACTTAATAAGGTACGTAATGTCTAATCACTGTGATGTACACCTGAGACTAATATAATACTGTATGTCAACTGTAATTGAAAAAAATAAATTATTTAAAAATGGAGGAAAAATTGGGTAAAAGCACTCTTGATTAATACTATTTGAGTTAGAAACTACTCAAGTTTTAGTTAATTTAGGATAGTTTTAGGGTCAGCTGGTATCTTTGCTCCACTGATACTAAATTAAAAAGTACTGATTTTGAATTGTAGTTTAGGTTTTCTATTTATTTTTTTACTTTTTAATATATTTTATTGATTATGCTATTACAGTTGTCCCATTTTTCCTCCCTTTATTCTCCTCCACCCTGCACCCCACCTCCCACCATCATTCTCCCAGCTTAGTTCATGTCCATGTCATACATATAAGTTCCTTGGCTTCTCCATTTCCTATACTATTCTTAACCTCCCCCTGTCTATTTGTACCTACCATTTATGCTTCTTATTACCTGTACCTTTTACCCCATCTCTCCCTCCCCATTGATAACCCTCCATGTGATCTCTATTTTTGTGAATCTGTTCTTGTTCTAGTAGTTTGTTTACTTTATTTAAATTCAGTTATTGATAGTTGTGAGTTTGTTGTCATTCTACTGCTTATATTTTTGATCATTTTTTTCCTAAATGAGTCTCTTTAACATTTTATATAATAAGAGCTGATAGCTTCGTTGGGTAGAGTCATCTTGGATGTAGGTCCTTGTGTTTCATGACTTCTAATACTTATTTCCAGCCCCTTGCCTGCAAGATTTCTTTAGAGAAATCTGCTAAGTCTTATGGAAACTCTTTTGTAGGTAACTGTTGCTTACTCTTGCTACATTTAAGATTTTCTCCTCTTTAATCTTATCTAGTGTAACTATGATGTGCCTTGGTGTGTGCTTCCTTGGTCCAACGTTTTGGGGACTCTCTGAGCTTCCTGGACCTCCTGGAAGTCTATTTCCTTTGCCAGATTGGAGAAGTTCTCCTTCATTATGTTTTTAACTCAGTTTTCCATTTCTTGCTCTTCCTCTTCTCCTCCTGGCACCCCTATAATTTGGATGTTGGAACGTTTCAAGATGTCCTGGAGGTGCCTAAGCTTCTCCTCATTAATTTGAATTCTAATTTCTTCATTCTGTTATGGTTGAATGTTTCTTCCTTCTGGTCAACACCAGTGATTAGAGTCCCAGTTTCCTTCCCTTCACTATTGGTTCCCTGTACATTTTCCTTTATTTCACTTAGCACGGCCTTCAATTTTTCATCTAATTTGGGACCGTATTCAGCCAATCCTGTGAGCATCCTGATTACCAGTGTTTTGAATTCTGCATCAGATAGATTGGCAATATCTCTTCATTGCTTAGTTGTATTTTTGGAGCTTTGATCTGTTCTTCCAGTAGGGCCATATTTTTGTCTCATCGCATCTGTTAAGTAGTAAAGAGTGGAGTCTTAGGTATTTGTGCAGGCAGAGCAGCCCACATTGCTGCTGCTTGTTAGGCTCTGCTGTCTACTGGCTTTCAGTCACTTCTGCTGTCCTCAAGCAAATGGGCCCTTCTGGTACTGATTCCCAGGTAGGTGGGTTTGTGTACCTTCTAGGACCCTTTGGGTCTCTCCAACAAACTCTCATGTGAGGCTGGGTGATTTTCCTCCCACCTCAACCCCCACAGGTTTTTTCAGTCAGAGGTTTTGAGGCTCTATTTCCCTGCACTGGAAACCCTGGGTTGTGTTCCACCCAGTCTGCCAGCTGCTGCCTCACCTGCCTGGTCCTCCATCCACTGCCTTGCTGCCAGTCCTCTGTTCCTCCTATGAGTCTGGATGAATGTTTCTTCTTTAACTCGTTGGTTGTCAAGAGTTCCTACAGTGATTTTCTGGAAGTTCTAGGTACCTTCTTTTAATTTGTTGTCCTTTTGGTTGTGCGAGGAGGAAATGTGTTTCTACCTACACCTCCATCTTGGTTGGAAGCCCATGTTTTCAATTTAAAGTGTGAACATTTGTTATTTACTATCGCAATACCTCATGTATCTGTCCTGTATGCCAGGCAGGTTAAGGTAATAGAAGATCATATCTTTGAACTACAACCTTTAACGCCATTTGTTAGAAATTTTTCTGAAAGACCACTCACATTTCATTTTGTTAGGTGATACACTGTGGCCTCTGCAGAATCATACTTATGCATGATGGAGACCTGTCATGGCTCATTCAGGAATGCTGCACTCAACTAGTTTAAGTCGTGGGGCCATGTATTCTCCACTATATATTTCAAATTGCTGGGCTTTAGGGCTTGTCCTTTCTGTTGTGCAGGTATATTTTGAGGTCTTTCTTCATGGACAGGTACCCACACGTTGCATTATACCAGGCAGCCCCACAGCAAAGTGGGAGGTAAACACGGGCCCAGGTGGGAACATTGCCTTTCTGTCTTCGATTCAGACCAGAGTGTGGTTTCACTATCTAGCCTGTGATATTATTCCTTTAATTTTAGTTTTGGGAATCAAAGCATAGTAGTTAAGACTTGGACTCTAGAGCCAGGCTTTGGATTTTGAATATGAGCATTGCCACTTTGCAGTGAAGGATTTTTTTGTGCCACAGCCCCCTTATTTATTAAATTGGGATAGTTGTTGGGTTTTGCCAGGAGGACACATGGTAAAAAAAACCTAGTGCACCAGTCAGCCTTCCTCGCAGTGGTGAAGGATAAGTGATCTAAGTAGTAAAATATTCAGAGCAGTGTTTGATAAGCTTTACATAAGCATTTGGTCTAATTATAAATGCTGTTCAAAAAGTATTCTGAGCATTGTGGTATAATCTAGGAAAGGTATGCTCAGTTTTGCAGTCTCTGAGGTGATCCTTGACAGGATGCAAATCTATATGCATATCAAGCATCATGCAGTACTGAATAGGCTATGTCTAACTCCTAGATGTGCTTCTGCTTTTATCATACCTGTATGTGCATACATACTGATTTTATAAATCAAATTTGGTTTTGTTTTAATGCACTCATATAATTTTTTCTCTCTTAGTGGATGCCCTGATATATATAGGAGTCTATGAAATAATGGCTGCTTAAACCAGGGTAGATAATACAATCCCCTGTGCAACTATAAGACTGTTGTTCTCTGTGTGGTCTTGGAAGTAACTTCAGTGGAAAGGATTACTGTTGATTACATTTTATACATCACAATATTGAAAACTTACCCTATAAAACCTACCTCCTCATACCCTCCTCTCTTGCTCCATACACACATAAACTGTTTTATTCTTCCCTCCCTCTACCTTTTCCATTTTTCCCCAGGATGACTATCGAGTCTGTATGGACTTCAACATCATTCAGAAAGATTCTGTTCCTGTTTGCCCTGTGGATGCCTCAGGCTGTTTCACAGCAGAAGTGACAGATTTCATGGGACAGTATGTGAAGGTTTGTTTCCAAATGGCATAGAAATGTGTTGGTTTCATATTTTTTCATTAATCAGTTTTTATCAAATAGCTTCCTCATCTGGGATGTTTTTTTCCAGGAAATTGTTTCTGTTTTGGTTTTTTTGTTTGTTTGTTTCAGTACGTAAAATCACAAAAGATAGATCATGTTATCAGCTACTTTGTGGGGGGCTAGGACTAGTCTCTTCAGAGGAGGCACACTATAGTTTTAAGCATAAGTATTAAAAAAATTGGGCTCTGACTAGTGACTCATGAAGCATCTTTGTGACTTCGGAGTAACTATTGCTGATTCAAAACTTTAGTACCTTAATGGTGTGGAATATACTTAAAAAGTACATGAAGTTACAAGGTATCTAAAATATATATCAAGTCTTTCGTAGTACATTTGTTATTTGTGCTTTATACTCTTAATAAAAGTAACTAAATATCAGATTTTAATAATATACTTAATTTTATTGTGTTACTAAGTACTGTAGGACATTTTAATGGCTATATTTTAATTTTTTTAAACAGGATGCTGACAAAAATATCATCAGGACCCTGAAGGAACAAGGCCGACTTCTTCTTGCCAGCACCTTCACTCATAGCTATCCTTTCTGTTGGAGGTAAGGAGAAAAGAGTTTTGTAGTTAGAGTTTCAGATTTGTGCATTCACTTAACGTATGTGCCCATCCCATCAGTTTGTGGTTTCCATCTCAATTGTATTCTTTGGAGTTAGTGTTTGGAAACTGCCTTTTTGTTTCAAGGATTATTTATGAATGCGTACATTTACTTCTTCAGGCGTTGTCTGAAAAATATAGGCATGGACTGTAAAGAAAAAAAAAACAGTCTTTTCTCTACAGGAAAAAAAAATCCAGTTCTTCCCTACTGTTTCATTATCCTGTGAGTGTTCTTTACTATTCCCTTCATAAACTTCACTTCTGACACTTCTGAGTCACCAAAATAGTGAAGGCTTTTTCCTCCACACCAAGCAATTTTCTTTGACTCAACTGGATGTCCTATTATTTAATCGAATTCCAGCACTATTTACTCAGAGATTAAGGGGTCAGTCCCACAAGAATGGGACACAAACACATACTCACTCACTTACTCACTTCAGATGCCATTCACAAACCTAAGTTTTCCCTCTATCAATGGACTGGCTTGAGATCAGACATTCCAGCTGTCCCCTCCTTGGGTTCAATTAATTTGCAAGAGAACCTCACAAAACTCCTTAAAACACTTATATTTATTAAAGGATATACATGAACAGCCAGATGAGGGCATATATATAGGGATGGGTCTGGAAGGGTCCTGTGAGCAGGAGCATTTGTCCTGTGGAGGTAGGTTGCTCATCCTTCTAGTATGTGGATGTGTTCTTCAACCTGGGAACCCCCTACACTCCATACTTTTGGGATTTAATCAGGAAGATAGGTACAGGGCTGGAAATTCCAAGCTATTGGGTTTGGTCTTTCTAGTGACCAGCCCCCATCCAAGGAACACATATAGAGTCACCTCATTAGAACAAAAGACACTCCTGTCAACCAAAAAATTACAAGGGTTTTAGGAGCTTTATGTCAAGAACTAGTATCCAAGACCAAATATTAGAACTAAAGATGTTCCTAGTACTCTTATCTTCTAAGAAATTATAAGGGTTTCAGGACCTCTGTGCCAAGAACCAGGGACAAAGGCATATGTATGTACATGCACATATATGTGTACTTTCTGTTATCTCACATAGACAGATAGGTCTGTGTTGGGTTCACATTTCTTTAGGATAAGACAGACCTAACATTTTTTAATGGAATTTAGTGAGAGATATGCAATATACCATTTAAAGAAGATTGTAAATATGTGGGTGAATTAGAATGTTCAGTGGCATCATGTTTTGTCTTTGCTGAAGTTGATACCATTTTTTAGGCAGCTGTCACACACCAGCAGAACTATATGAGGACATTTTTTTTATATTGTTTTTTTGTTAACTTTTACCTTTCTTGGTATTGTATAGGGTATGTAGGGCCATGACCAATAGTAAAGACATAGACATTCGTTTTGCGGTATATATGAATGTTGGTAGAAGGCCAAGTTGATGGCAGTGGCATCAGAAACAAATGGTTGTTGCTGCCCTAAGCACCTGCACACCTCAGTCTCACCAGCCACACCTCCATTTCTGCTTCCTCAGGTCGGACACTCCCCTCATTTACAAAGCGGTGCCCAGCTGGTTTGTTCGGGTTGAACACATGGTAGACCAGCTGCTGAAGAACAATGATTTATGTTACTGGTGAGCAATAAGACATAAGTCTTAATAATGTCCTTTGTCATATAGTTAGTAAGTATTGGTTTATACTTCTCCCAATTATAACTTTAATAACCATCTAAGATATAACAAAGTAACATTCTTTTTATTATAAAGCCTATAGAGGAGTCTTTTTTTTTTTAACCCAATAGAAATGAGAAACTTGTTTATGCAAATTACAGAATAGAATGACTGGAAAATATCTGGCTGAACTTTCAGGGTAAACATTTAGTTATAAGTGTACCTACAAAATTCATTTATAACATCACTTGAACCTTGAACAATGCAGGGGTAAGAAGCTATAAACTCTGTACATTAAAAATTCATATATAACTACAGTCAACTTTCCACATCCATGGATTCCCAACATTGGAGTTGACCCTTTAACAACGTGGGTTTGAGATGCACAAGTTGATCAGTTGAAAAAAATTGCGTATAAGTGGACTCTGCCGTTCACGCATGTGTTATTCAAGGATCAGCTACTGCTTTTGATGCTCATTTAGTTCCTTGACTATGATGATGTCTTATGCAAGCTGGCTTCATTGATAAGCACTGCAGGGACAGAAGCATTGCTCTTCCCTAATAGCTGACCATGGAGAAGTGTTAGTTCAGCCAGTTAGAAAAATAAAATAAGATTGACTTCTACATATTGTAGAATAATGTTTTTCACCAAGAGTTTGGAGAGTGATTAGTATTTTTTACTTCTGTAAGAATTTAAAAGCTGCATTTAATTTTGAAAGAATGGGCAGAATCTCTAGGCATTAAAAACAAAAGGCTATAGCTTTGTCTTTTTTTCTAGCAAAGTGACCCTGATTTCTCAAGAAAAAGCAGTGTTTTTCTTTTTATACCTAAGGAGTTCTTTAGCTTTCCTAATGTATGATGGGCTTAATATAGAATGTTAGTATGAGAACCTTGTGGCATGGTATAGGCCTAAAATCTGGCATTTAGGATACAGGACTGAAGACAGAATGTTCAGGAGCCTAGGGTGCCCTAACTCAGCCTTAAGTTTGGGAAGGTTTTTTGCAAAGCCTCCCTCTGGAGGATAGGGAGTGATTTATCAATCAGAGGCAGTAGAAACTTGGGGGAGTGGTGGCTAATGTAGGGGCTGCTGGGTGAAGGTTATCAAAGTGGACAGATGGTACTGGTGAAAGCAGTGAGGTGAGAAGCTGAATCTGAGGGACTTGCCTCATTGCTGGAGCCTAACATGTAGTACCATGGGGACTGCAGGTGAACCTGGAGAAGCAGCTACCATGTAGCTACCAATAGCCTGCCTGTTCAGAGTTGTGCTTGTAGTAGTTACAGTAAACTTACAGAACTATTGCATGAAATACCCAGAAAGTAGATAGATATTAGTGGGACCAGGCTAGCTAGCATTGGTGACAAAAAACTGTGGCAGTCCTAATTGGGGAGTAGGATGGGGAAACATGGGTGATATCAGGTTTCCTATTAAAAAGCATCTTCACTGGGATTAATTTATGGCAGATACAGCCATTATGAGTCATCCGATGCTGTCCATGCAGAAAATAATCTCCCAGGAGGAGTGAGATCAGCCTTTCCAGAGTGTTTTATAGATGCCATTTACAAATTTACTTAGTACTGTTCTTAGGTGGATTGGGTTTCTGATCTGTTTATTGCAGGGTCCCAGAGTTTGTGCGAGAAAAGCGATTTGGGAATTGGCTGAGAGATGCACGTGACTGGGCAATTTCCAGAAACAGATACTGGGGCACCCCTATCCCACTGTGGGTCAGTGAGGACTTTGAGGAGGTGAGGCCGGCAGTATTTTTGTATGTTGACTTTTGTTGAGACCTTTTTTGTTTATTTCATCTCAATATGGGAGCAAAGGAATATGGTCTCTTTCTCCCCACCCCCCTTTTTTTCCTAATTTTTCTTTCCTTTAATCATAACTAAATAAGAATGTTAGCGAGGGGGGGGATTTTTTGGGGGTTTTTTGTTTTTTTAATTTTTTAAGATTTTATTTATTTATATTTTAGAGGGGAAGGGATGGAGGAGAGGGAGAGAAATATCAATGTGTGGGTTGCCTCTCGTGTGTACCTCTCTGGGAACTGGCCTGCAACCCAGGCATGTGCCCTAACTGGGAATCGAACCTCAGTCCTTTGGTTCACGGGCCCGCGCTCAATCCACTGAGCTACACCAGCCAGGGCAGAATGTTAGCGTTTTAGGTTTATTTTACTTTCATTTTCCTTGAATGCAATTTGTGTTTTTCTCTGGGAACACACATTAAATTGTTTGTGTTCCTCAGATCTTTTTTTATTCTTGTGAATTACTGATGAACAGAACAGACTCAATACCAGGGATATCAAACTCATTTTCACTGGGGGCCACATCAGCCTCAAGGTTGCCTTCAAAGGGCCGAATGTAATTTCAACTCCTTAACAGTTAAGGAGTGGTTAGATTTATACAGTCCTAAAATTATTTCAGACCTTTGAAGGCAACCACGAGGCTGATGTGGTCCCTGGTGAAAATGAGTTTGACACCCCTGCTCTATACCTTCACTTACAGCAATGAAAAAGGAAAACTAAAAAAATAGTAAAGCATTGCAGACTTTTAATTTGAAAATAAATGATTGTATGAGTGTATGTATACATAAATATTTATATAGGACTTTAGATGTATTCCCATGATGGGACCTCCTTTTCGTGTCTGTTGCTAAAAACTGAGAGTGTTAGAATTAGAGCGCATGAACCACAGTGACCCAGGGACACCAGTAAATTTTTCTGTATGAAGGGACCTGAAAGGCAACAGTAAAGTAATTCAATTGGAAGACTTTTCAGGACTGGTCAGGAAGATGCAGCGAAAGAAACCATGAGTATTCCCTAGGTAATAGACAATCCCTGGGTGAGAACTGATCTCAGTCCTTGTTAGTGCTGCCACATCAGATAATGCTTCGTGTTGTGAGTACCCCAGCTGGGCCCATCTCTCAGCCTCCTTACCTGGACATAATTCTAACATCTTGTTGTATGACTATGTGGATTCAGCACAGTAATTTAGTTCTAGCTTTGACTTGGGAAGATTTCAGCTTAATGAACTGAATTCAAGTGCCAGGAAGAAACTTAAGATGTATTAGTGTACAAGTCTAGCCATTTCACTTCCACTGGTTATTTTTGGCATAGATGTGGACATTAGAAACCCCCAAGAAATACTTGTTGAGATGATGGCTGCGAAAGCTTAAAATCTTTTCTGTAGAGGGAAATTAGGCAACCTGAGAAAGGACAGAGACGCTGAAAGGGGGCCGCCAAGGGAGCCTTGGCTTTTTTAATTTATTTATATTTTTTAAAAGATTTTAAGATTTTGTTCATTTATTTTTAGAGGGAAGGGAGGGAGGAAGGAGAGGGATACAAACATCAGTGTGCAGTTGCCTCTCACGTGCACTCCCCCGCCCCCGGGATCTGACCTGGATCCCAGACATGTGCCTTGACTGCTAATTGAACCAGCAACACTTTGGTTCACAGCCGGTACTCAATCCACTGAGCTACACCAGCCAAGGCTAGCTTCGGCTTTTATACAGAGCGGCCATCATCTCCAAGCAGGAAAGAGCTTACTTACCCTTCTACACAGATTAGCCCTTCACATGAAATGGACAGCTAATTCTTCAGAAACTGTTCACTACTGAAAATAATTTGGGATAGACTAAGATATGTGGTGCAGGGGTGGAGGAGCACACCCAACATCTTCCCTGAAATCTGATCAGCACCTCTTAGGGGAGATACATTGTAGGGCCTCTTTCTGGTATGAGGGAACATATCAAAGAAGTGAAGTATGTTCACCTCTTCAGACAGTCACCTGTAGTTTTTCATGAGGGTAAGCCATGTTGGTGATAACTATCCTGTAGATCAAAGGTTTCTAAACTTCATTGTCAACAGAAATTAACTCTGTGTGATCTTTGCCTCTCTGGCACTCCTGCTTTTTAACTTTGTTTTGACAGATAGTATGCATTGGGTCAATGGCAGAACTTGAAGAACTGTCAAGAGCAAAGATCTCAGATCTCCACAGAGAGAGGTCAGTTTCTGAATGCTTCATTCATGTCAGTTCTGTCATTCAGAGAGCATTGGGCTAGGTCCTGGCCTGTTAAGACATGGTCTCTGTAGTGGACCATGGAGCTACATACAGAAATCAAACACTCATTTGCTGAATTACATTGTTCTTGATGACTTGTGTCATAATGAGGAAAGGTGACTTCTGTTCTTGAGTTAGATGTCAAAGGACTTCTAGTTTGAGTGCCCATGGTGCTCTCTGTAAGCCTGTGATGACTGCTAATGTTTCTGTTCATAGATACATATGAAGAGTTTGTCAGGAATTATGTTTCCTGCTGGCATTTCAACTGCAAGTTTTGTTGTGCTTAAAATTAATGGAAATGGCTATATTTTTGTTTGTTAGCATTGACCATCTGACCATTCCTTCACGCTGTGGGAAGGGATTGCTGCACCGCATCCCTGAAGTGTTTGACTGTTGGTTTGAGAGTGGCAGCATGCCCTACGCTCAAGTTCATTATCCATTTGAAAACAAGAAGGAGTTTGAAGATGCATTTCCTGCAGATTTCATTGCCGAAGGCATTGACCAAACCAGAGGATGGTATGTTCCTGGTTCTTTCAAGTGTTTTGTTGATTTGATTTTATTTAGCAATTATATTACTGAGCACCTAGTATTTATCTGCTATGTGCTGGGAAGATTGTGTCAAGTGAGAGGGGCTCTGCTCCTTAGCACCAAGCAAGCCATTATTGTCTTTTAAGTGAGAATCTCTGTCTATGGTAGGGTGTAGTTTCAGAAATTTAATTATTTCACTGATATCTTAGAACATAGGGATTTGTTTTACTGGAAATTTAAATGATATAAAACACTTTATGTGGTCATAACTTGATCACTTCAAGTCATTTGTTCAGATGTCGAGTGGGTATTTACCTCGACAGATAATGTGTGGGGTACTACAAAAGTGAAGAGGATTACTTGGAAATATGCTCAGATGCTAGATTAGCCTTCCAAAATTAACATTTGAAAAAAATCTAGATTTAAAAGAAACTGGGGAGAGGGTTTTGACATTGGTTTTATCTGGTGCCTTATTTAAAGCAGTACTGTCATCTTCTTAATTATAAAAAGGTTAGTTATCTTCTTTTTGTGGATGAGCTTGATCGGCCCAGGTTCTAATTACATTTTCATTAGTAATGTTTCTACAGGGATATTTAAGGAATGTTGGTGGTGTTTTTGCTTTTGCAAATTGTGCTAGTCATCACAAACTGATTAAATTCTGGCCTTAATGCTTTGGAATGTGCTGTTTTCACTTTACAGTCCATTTACCTGTAAGAAGAGCTACCAGGCACAAATTCTTATATCTAAGGAGTTTCTCTGAGGAATGGTGACAGCTGACAACTAATAACAGTCCTTATATGGGTTCCCTGTGCACACTGCTTTCCTCCTCTTTAGTCAGTTGTGGGCTGCCTCTCCTAGGTACCAGAGTCCTCCTGACATACCTTAGAGGTCAGGTGTTCATGTTAGACATGGAGTGTGGTCTGTGACATCACCAGTTCATGTCTCATGATGGTCTTGGAGCACAAAATCAGGTTGGAGGTAACATAAGAGCCTCACTTAACTGGTACAGCTTATAGGAATGTGACACTAGCTAGCAAATAAATGACATATGTGATATCTGACAGAATAAAAACATTTTCTCTGCTCTCATACTTTATCTTTTGACTTTGGAATGAGTGCTTTTTGCCATTTTTGGACATGTGGGGTTGGGGAGGTCATCAAACTATCCCATATGACTTTGTGTTAATGGTGACATACATCTGATTTTCAGCCTTATGTTTTATGGGGAGGTCCTGAGAGGCCACCCATTGCTGCCCTGCTGTGCTCTGCCTTACGGCTGTTCAACTGGCTTCCCAAGAAGGGTGGTGGTACTATCCTCAGCTGGGGTCAGTACCTCGATCCAGGCCTTTATTTGCTTTGAGTCATGTTTTTTTCCTAATCGGAGGCTTAAATGTGATTGATGTGCATTGGGTCTTGTGTATAATTTTTCAACAATCCTGGCATGATTTTAATGTTACTGGAATTAAAATCTTTGCCTTAAGTGATTATCAAGAAGTGTAACAGATCAAAAATAGAAATTCAGTTCAATAAGTAAGCACAGTTTTATCCTATGTTAGACTTCTTTTGGGGGTATTGTTTTGCTGTTTGTTTTTTAACTTTCTTTGTGGAATTTTTTTCCCAGGTTTTATACCCTTCTGGTGCTGGCCACAGCTCTCTTTGGACAGCCACCCTTCAGGAATGTGATTGCGAATGGACTCATTCTTGCGAGGCAGGTGTACTCCTTTTTGTCGCGACAAGTTCCAGTTGCTGTCCCCTAATCACTCTTCATGAATAGAGGAATTTAGGAATGCCCCAGCTCTGTTCTTACTGCTTTTTCTTTTCTGCTTCTATACTTTTTGCTATCACTTTTGTATCTTTTGTGTTCTGTTTCCACACTTCCTCTGTCTTAGGGAGAAGAGTTGGATTGAAAGCTAATCATAATGGAATAGGCAAAAGGGCAGGACTTGCTTGGGATAATTCTAGTGATGAAATAACATTTGTCATTTTAGACTTATTTTAAAGTGCTTTTGGTTATAGCTCTTACTCAATCTTGTATACTGATCATTTATATAGATTTTTGGTTTTTTTAAATATATGAGGAAATTATGAGTTCTAGAGGTTTGTGGTTTTATATTGGAGTCCTGTGCTTATACTTCCTCAAGTTATTAAAAGTAAAACCTATACAAAAACAACTGAAAAATATTTACATAGATACCCAGCTTTATGTGCCGTGAGGGGGGAGGATGACAGTAGGCCTTTTGTGAACATTTACACATTTTTACTCACTTAATGCCAAGAACTATGTAAGGTGTGTTCTTTCATTACCCTGTTTTGACATTTGAGATACAGAAAAAGTAAGGTCATACAATAAGTGGTGAGCTCAAGTGTGTCATTTCAGGTATGTTATGTAAATGGAATCATACCATATATAATTTTGGGGGAGTGAATTTTTTGGGTCACTGTTACTCCCTGGGTGTTTCTCAGGTGCTCGTGCATCAGTGTTTCCTTCTCTTTGCTGTGTGGGTGACCCTGAGTTTGACTATTCACATGCTGAAGGACCCTGGGGTTGTTTCAAGTTTTTGCTGACAGTGAATAATTCTATGAACTTTGTTACAGGTTTTGCATAACTGACTTTTCATTTCTCTGGGATAAGTGCCTAGTCTGTAATTTTTACTGTTAAATTATGATGTCTTGCTACCTTTATCCTGAAGTTTCTTCATTGACTCAACACAGTATTTAAAAAACAAGCCTACAGATATTAACAAAACAACTTTATTGTTGTACCTTAACATTAACTTGTATGCCATTTGCATTTATGTATTCCAGTTGAAGATATCTATAACCATATATAAAGATACCGTAAGGTTGACATATTTGATATCTCCCTTTTATTTTTCAAGTGATGGCCAAAAAATGAGCAAACGAAAAAAGAATTATCCAGATCCACTTTCAATCATCCATAAATATGGTGCTGATGCCCTCAGGTACAAACCGGTGCTCTCCCTTATGTGTATTTGTCATTTCTTATATAAGCACTTCTCACCTCTCATTCTGTTAATCATATTCCTTGCATTTGGTTTATAATTAGCTTTTTAAAATGTATCTCTGTTTTAGGAGGAGTTAAATTTCTAAGGTGTTGACTTAAGCCCCCTTCCCCTACCCAAGGTGTTTTATTAAATAATGATGACATTTCCAAATCTAGAAATCTTTTGGAGGATAAGGACCTCTGTCTAAGTTTTTCCATCTTGTTGGTGTTACATCATTTATTTCTATTTTCTACTTACTCTTAAAAGAGTCATATGAAGTATGTTTATCCTAGAGCAAGTAAAAAATACTTGAAAACTTTTTAGAGAATGTGAGCTGCTGCTTGAAATAGTCAGTGTCATGAACATTAAGTGTTCAGGTTAAAAGCCTCTCTGTCCTGGCTCCTTGTGAGTCTCTGGTGCCTACGTGTGTCCTGGCTGCCTCTTGGTTCTGCCACACCCACCACCGATGGCCTGAGCTGAGACCAGCAGAGGGCATGCCTCTAGGTTGTTCCACTGCCGAATTTTGTTGTGGAAGCTACATCTCCTTTTATAATTTGCTGGGTCTCTTTTATGTAAAAATAAGAGCTTTGTCAGTTTTATACAGACCATGAGAAGACTACTCATAATTACCCACTTTTTAGAAGAAAGGATAATTTCGGTGTTACCCTATGAAAATGTCACATGATAATTGGTACCATCTACATTCCTTTTTTGTGTAAATTTTATTTTCCAGATTGTATCTGATTAACTCTCCTGTGGTAAGAGCAGAAAACCTCCGCTTTAAAGAGGAAGGTGTGCGTGATGTCCTGAAGGATGTGCTACTCCCTTGGTACAATGCCTATCGCTTCTTCATTCAGAACATCCTAAGGCTGCAGAAGGTGTGGACCAAAGTGCTGTGGTTTGAGCTGGATGTGGGCCAGGGTGCCTTCCCAGCTATGTTGAGCTGCATTTGCTCAGGCCCTATGTGTGGAAGCTCAGAGACACTTGGGAATCCATAGGTGAAGGTACCCGGGGTCCTTGCTCAGACAGGAGCATGAGTTGGAGCTAAGCCTTCTGGGCAGGCTCACCTATGCAGACACGGGAGCCTCACCTGTAGAAGAGTTGTGTTGGGTATACATTTAGCCACTTCCCCACTCCTTGTGGAACCAGTAGGGGTGGCATGGTGGAGCCAGTGAAGAGTCAGCTACTGTCTGAGATTGAATGGCCAGTAAAGGCTGCTACAAGTGGGTGGTCAGGGATGACCCTTTGATGGGGGTGTTTGGGCTGACACTCTGTACATAAGAGAAATTCTCATTGGGTTGTTAGGATTTAGAGTAATGATTGTGATGTTTTGGAAAGTTTCATTCTAGCAGTTACCCGTTGCCCACGAGGCATTCTCTGAGAAGCCACCTGCCCTGCCCCAATGACTGCCCTCAGGTCAGCAGGCTCATGTGCCTGTCTGCGCTAATTTTAGTATTCCACGTGGGGTCAGGGCCCAGAAACTATTCACCTTTTTACCTCAAGCACCTTATACGTAGAATTGCTTAGTAAATTACTGTGGACTAAATATGTGGTGTTATTCTTTCCTGAAAAACTGGCTGGAAAGCTGAGCTTTGAACAGCAGTCCAGTAGTCAGATCATTTGCTTCCTGCTTCCTCTGGTTTATGTAGGTCTGCTAATGAACCTTCTAGGAGGGATTTTTCCCTGTGGTTTGAGAAAGGCAGTCACCTTCCCAAGACCCCTAGTGTTCCTGGCTTTTCATTCCTACCACCTCTTTGGGCCAACAGTCCACTTTGTAGGCCACCTACTGGTTTGGAACTTCATCTGGACAAGGCAGCAAGATGTCAGCTCCACCCTCAGGCGCTTAAATCAGGGCAGGGATCAGCATGGCCATTCCATTGCCACTGGTGATGATGCTGTATGAGTAGGAATAGATGAGGTGGGCCTTCATGATTGAGGAAGATTTTTCAAAGGAAAAAGAATGGGTGAAATAGAGTATTCTAGGTAAAATGACTAATATAAGCTGAGACACTGCTGTATTTTTTGGACCATAATACACACCTAGGTTTTAGAGGAGGAAAATAGGAAAAAATATGTTGAAGCAAAAATGTAAAATATTTAATAACATAAATAACATAATATTCCACCAATGTAAATGTAAACAGAACTCAACAGCAGCATTAACAACCATTATTCCTCCAAAATGGGGAAGGAGGTGTGTGTCTTCTAGTCCAAAAAATACATAATTCATAGGGCTCATTTTCAATTTATAGTCAGTTATCTAGAGAGTGCCAGTTTTTCTGTCCTTTCTTCCTCAAATTTAAAATAACCAAAGCCCATACTTACAAGATTTTAGAATACTTCTCAATTCATAATCATTCTTTGGTACATAGGAATAATTTTTTCCCAAAATTCCCCTTACTTCACTCAAAAATGGAATTCACTAATTGAGGATCTAATGTCCCAAATGTAGAACTTATCCTGAAAATATTACTGAGAATTAGAACTGTAGATTAGTCTGGATTTTTCTGGGGGAAGGCAGGATGTGGCCATTAATTTCAGTTTAAGTGCTTTAAAGTATTCGTTTCTTTACATGAATTTCCCTCAAGCACGCAGAATGTTACAACAATTGTCCATTCCTAGGAGGAAAAAATGGAATTCCTCTACAATGAAAACATGGTTAAAGAAAGTGCCAACATCACAGACCGATGGGTCCTGTCCTTCATGCAGTCACTCATTGCGTTCTTTGAGACCGAAATGGCAGGTGCGTCTTTCTTTAGCTTTCCTCCCAGGACTACAGACTTTTCTCTATGATTGCCCTTTAGATATTACTTATTCTATATAAACATAGAGTAGATTTTGTACAAATTTTAAGAGATAGAGAAGAAACAAAGCAGTAGATAAATACTTGTTTCTTTTACCATGCAAATATAATTTTGTTAAGGCTTGTTAGTTGCAGAAAGGTGCTGGCCCAAGGAATTGTCTCAGGGGATGTCCAGGGACCTTCTCTCCCCACCAGACCACATGAGCCCATGGAACCATAGGCTTTGGTGTTGGATGGTTCTACTACCTTTTCCCTGGTGGAGCATTGCATAATCTATGAACCTTAATTTCTTTTTGTGAAAAATACCTTGTCAGAGTTAGTACAAGGCTCAAATAGAGATCATGTACATATGTGAGTGGTTCAAATAGAGATCATGTACATGAAGCTGACAGACAACAGGTACTCAAAAAGTAGTACTTGTTAATAGTTCATTTTTTTATTTTCAGATCTGCTTTATTACATAATTAGTCCTTGAACAATCTAGAAAAATTAGGAGTTATAGAAAAGCAATAATGAAGTAGACATTTCTCTATATTTCTGTTTCCTGACAACATGAATTGGGTTTTACATAGAGGTTGGAAAGGTAGGTTATGATGGTTTTCTCAAGGTTGGAGATAGAATAACCGTAAGTCAGGGAGAAATTTTCCAGAAATTACTGACTAGGATACCTGAGATGGGCGTTCCTTTTTCAGACATTGGGGGTTCCTTTTTCACACTCTAGCAAGTTTGATTTGCCTCCCTCAGCACCCTGTGGTTTCCAGGTGCTACTGTGCAGGTGCAGTACTCATCAGTTTGAGGGGCAGAGCCAACCTTTGTTGCTGACACAGATCTGCCTCTCTGCTGAAATAGGTGCCTCTACACCTGGATCAATAGGCCAGTTAGTCTAGGAACTTCCATGTGTTTATCAGTCACCCTGAAGGACTATATTCACCCCCTTATACATATGTAATTAGGATCATATGACTGTCAAGCTTTTGGAGATATTGTGAGTTCAGTTCCAGCTTACCACAATAAAACAGATAGCCAATAAAGAGAATATCACAATAAAGTGAGCCACATGAATTTTTTGGTTTAACAGTGGATATAGGTCTTATGTTTACACTAAGTCTGCAAAAGCATTGTGTCTAAAACAACGTGCATACTTATGTTTACTGATCATCTGAGCCTTCACTAGTCTTTTTGCTGGTGGATGTTCTTTCCTCAATCTTGATGTCTGCTGACTGATCACAGTGATGGTTGCTGAAGGTTTTGGTGGCTGTGACAGTTCCTTAAAATTAGACAATAATGAAGTTTGCTGCATCAGTTGACTCTTTCATGCACAGTGATACTATGTGATAGCATTTTATACCCTCAGTAGAACTCTTTCAAAATTGGAGTCAATCTCAAATCCTACTGCTGTTTTATCAAATAAGTTTGTTTAATATTCTAAATTCTTTGTTGTCATTTCAGCAATCTTCACAGCATCTTCACCAGGAATAGTTACGCAACTCTTCTTTCATTTGAACACTTATGGGCCATTGTGGATTTATTAATTGGCCTAATTTCAATGTCACTGTGTCTTAGGGAATAGGGAGGCCTGAGGAATGGAAGAGAAATGGTGAAATGGTCAGTCAGTAGAGCAGTTGGAACACTAATTTATCAATTAAGTTTATAGTCTTATTGTTATGATTCATGATACCCCAAAGCAATTGTAATAGTAACATCAAAGATCATAAATCACCATTACAAGTGTAATAACAAAAAAGTTTGAAATATTACATCACAGTTTGTCGATATTACAACAGTTTCCAAAATGAAACAAAAACAAAATGAGCAAATGATGTTGGGAGAATGGTGCCAGTAGACTTGTGAGGTTGCCAGAAATCTTCAATTTGTAAAAGAAAAAAAAATTTAAAAGAACAAAAAACACCAAATACCTTTCAAACACAATAAAGCAAAGTATAATAAAATGAGTTATCCCTGTATTTTTCCCCTTAGAAAGCCTGTTCTGTTTTATTCATAACTCTTGCTAAGTTTCTCAGTGGCAGCATGAAGGGTTGGGTGGTTCTTTGTGGTGAGGCTGGGCTGTGTGTTATACAAGGCTGAGCAGCAAGCATCACTTGTTTTTCTTGCCAGGTGCCAGGAGCACACACCTCCTCAGTTTTGACAACCAGAATGTTTCTCCAGACATTGCCAGTGCCCTCTGTGGGACAAACTTCCTCTGCTTGAAAAACATTGACCTATGTTATGTCTCTTAACATCTCATTAGACCTTTTTGTGTCAGTCTTAGTTGAGGAACAACTGCATAGTTGTAGTTTTATGTCAGCAGCATAGTAAAGGAAGTTGGGCTTTCGTAGTGCTGTAGCTTTGCATAGCTCCTGGGAAACATACTTCCTGGATTTATGTGATGGGCAATATTGGCCTCTGAGCCACACATTACGGGGTTTACATTTTCCTCACTGACAGGAGCTCACAGGATGGTGTGTGTGTGCCCCTAGACCCTTGATGATCATACTGTATGTCCTCAGTGAATGAGCCATTATGATTGCTTCACTTTGATTCTTTCTGTCCTTAACAAGCTTAGTGACTCTTGGATGACAGGGTGACTTGTTCTTATGCCCATCCTTTCCTCAACTACCCCAAGTGCTTAGTATATTCTTGCAACCTGATTGATTGGTCTTACTTTTAGCTTATAGGCTCTATACTGTGGTGCCTCGCCTGGTAAAGTTTGTCGATATTCTCACCAATTGGTATGTCAGAATGAACCGCCGAAGATTAAAGGTAAGTTTGGGCTGTTCTTCAGAAGATCAAAATGTGTAGGGAGTCTGAAAATACATACAGCCCAATGCCCTCAGTTTTTTAAGCAATTTTTTTTTTTACATTGAGTATTAGCTACATTTATCACCATTTGATGGATGGGGACCTGTAAGTTTTTAAAGTCATGGAGCGTGTTTTCACAACACAATTATGGACATGTCATTGGAAGGAGTCTCAAGGCTATGTAGGACTAATCTGAGCAGATCTCTTAGAACACAAAATAAAGTGATGTAAATGTTCTTTTATTTTTTTAAATGTATTTTATTGATTGTGCTATTACAGTTGTCCCATTTTTTTTCTCCAGGTTATTCCCCTCCACCTAACACTCCCCCCCACCAGCCTACCCCCCTTAGTTTATGTCCATGGCTTATACATACAAGTTCTTTGATTTCTCCATTTCCCATACTGTTCTTAACCTCCCACTGAGTATTTTGTACCTACCAGTTGTGCTTATAACCTGTAACTTTTCCTCTCTTCTCCCCCTTGCCCCTCCCTACTGATAACCCTCCATGTGATCTCCATTTCTGTGATTCTGTGCCTGTTCAAGTTTTTGCTTAGTTAGTTTTTGTTTGTATTTTTAGGTTCAGTTATTGATAGTTGTGAGTTTGTTGTCATTTTACTGTTCCTAGTTTTGCACATCATCTTTTTCTTAGATAAGTCTCTTTAACATTTTATATAATAAGAGCTTGATGATGCTGAACTCCTTTAACTTGACCTTATCTGGGAAGCACTTTATCTGCCCCTCTACTCTAAATGATAGCTTTGCTGCATAGAGTCATCTTGGATGTTGGTTCTTGCCTTTCATGACTTCAAGTACTTCTTTCCAGCCCCTTCTTGCCTGCAAGATTTCTTTAGAGAAATCTGATCGTCTTTGGGGGACTCATTAACTGTCTCCTTTTCTTTTGCTGCTTTTAAGAGTACCTCCTCTTTAATCTTATCTAGTGTAATTATTATGTTCCTTGATGTCTGCTTCCTTGGGTCCAACTTTTTGGGGACTCTCTGAGCTTCCTGGACTTCCTGGAAGTCTATTTCCTTTGCCAGATTGGGGAAGTTCTCCTTCATTATGTTTTTAACTCAGTTTTCCATTTCTTGCTCTTCCTCTTCTCCTCCTGGCACCCCTATAATTTGGATGTTGGAACGTTTCAAGATGTCCTGGAGGTGCCTAAGCCTCTCCTCATTAATTTGAATTCTAATTTCTTCATTCTGTTATGGTTGAATGTTTCTTTCTTCCTTCTGGTCAACACCAGTGATTAGAGTCCCAGTTTCCTTCCCTTCACTATTGGTTCCCTGTACATTTTCCTTTATTTCACTTAGCACAGCCTTCAATTTTTCATCTAATTTGGAACCATATTCAACCAATCCTGTGAGCATCCTGATTACCAGTGTTTTGAATTCTGCATCTGATAGATTGGCAATATCTCTTCATTGCTTAGTTGTATTTTTGGAGCTTTGATCTGTTCTTCCAGTAGGGCCATATTTTTGTCTCATCGCATCTGTTAAGTAGTAAAGAGTGGAGTCTTAGGTATTTGTGCAGGCAGAGCAGCCCACATTGCTGCTGCTTGTTAGGCTCTGCTGTCTACTGGCTTTCAGTCACTTCTGCTGTCCTCAAGCAAATGGGCCCTTCTGGTACTGATTCCCAGCTGGGTGGGTTTGTGTACCTTCTAGGACCCTTTGGGTCTCTCCAACAAACTCTCATGTGAGGCTGGGTGATTTTCCTCCCGCCTCAACCCCCACAGGTTTTTTTCAGTCAGAGGTTTTGAGGCTCTGTTTCCCTGCACTGGAAACCCTGGGTTGTGTTCCACCCAGTCTGCCAGCTGCTGCCTCACCTGCCTGGTCCTCCATCCACTGCCTTGCTGCCAGTCCTCTGTTCCTCCTATGATAAGTCTGGATGAATGTTTCTTCTTTAACTCATTGGTTGTCAGACTTCCATACGTTTTGATTTTCTGGCAGTTCTGGTTATTTATTGTTCTTAAACTTAATGTCCTTTTTGTTTGCTCAGAGGCAATATATATTCACCTATTCTTCCATCTTGGCTATAAATCTAAAGTTGTGTAAATGTTTTCAAATTTTATATACGACTCTGATCTCCAGGGTGGCTTCTACCTTTAAAAGGTCAGTTATTCATAGACAAAACTCTTTGAGCCTGTTGGAGATTTACAATGAGTGATGAATGGGTCCTGTATCAGGACTTAAGCCATGCATAAACAGTGATAGTATAAGACAGGAAGTGAGGGTCACTCATACTGAAGGTCAGTCGGCACCCATCAGTTTTTGCCTTTATATGTGTTAATGGTAAACGCCCATAATAGAACAGTAATTCATCTTTGTTAAAATATACACACATATATACATATGCATGTATGTACACACAATCTACAAGGATATGTGTTAAAATGTTTACAGTAGTTTTTTCTGGGTAACTTATTTATGATTAAATTTTTTTAATAATCTTTTTTTTTCTATAATGAATTAATATAACTATTTAAATACATGGCATATACATTTTTAATAAATAAGGAATGTTACGTAAAAAAGTACTTTAAATTTTGTATTGGCAACTACTTCTATCTATTGTGTGGGGATCCCACTATAAGCCTGCGGATTCTGTTGTTTTTCTTTACCTCACAGTCATAGAGCCATTCTCCATCAGCTTAGCCAGCCACAGAGGTGGGAGGGAGTAGGGGGCCCCATCTTGGCTCTCTGCACTGACCCTAGATCATGGTTGGTTGTGGTCACTTCTCCTGGCTCTGTCTGTCATGTCAGTACACCATGGGCTCCCTTTGGATTGCCTGTTTTTAATACTTACTTGGTTTTAACATTTCAGTGTGTTTCTTTTTTATTCACTAGGGTGAAAACGGGACAGAGGATTGTGTTATGGCCTTGGAGACCTTGTTTAGTGTTTTATTTTCTCTGTGCAGACTTATGGTAAGGTGCTTGGCCCCATTCTAAAAATACAGACCTATGGATTCTTTGCATTACCCTGTTGCTTCAGAGTCTCCTATCTATACCTATTTTGTATTTGTTATATCGGAAATAGAAATCAAGTTTTATAACAACTTAAATCTCTAGTTCATTTTAAGAAATCTTATTAGCTTACATGTGTCAAGCAAAGAACATTTGTTTCAAAGGGTAGATTTTTTTTTTCTTCTCACTGCTCACAGTAAATTTCAGGTCATGGTTCTTGCATCTAAATTGAATTGCCACAATTCCCTTGAATATCATTCCTCATCTTATGATGAGGGGATTCCTCTGCCACTTGAAATAATCAAATTATATACAAGTAAAGTTTTTATTTCTTTTAATGCCCATATCCTATTTCTGCTAGTCTGTTATAAATTATAAGCTTCCTTCTGTATATTTCCTAAACATACACAGAATTAGAACCTGTTTTGTATCAGGTCCTATGCCTGATTTAACAACATCTATCCTCACTTTTTTTTAAATATGATTTTATTTATTTGTTTGTTTGTTTTTAGAGAGGAGAAGGGGAGGGGTAAAGGGTGGGAGGCAAACATCAGTGTGTGGCTGCCCCATGCACACCCCCTATTGGGGACCTGGCTAGCAACCCAGGCATGTGCCTCGACTAGGAATTGAACTAGCAACCTTTTGGTTTACAGACCAGCACTGAATCCACTGAACCACACCAGCCAGGGCCTCACTCATTTTTATTCTGTGAAGCAAGTTGTGTTCCCCCAGTTTACAAATGAGGTTTCAGAGTTTGGAGGACATTGAGGTTTTTTTTTTATATTGACTTCGCTGGTATGTGGTCAGTAACTTGTTTGTTTGTTTTTTATTAATTTTCTTGGATGACATTGGTTAATAAAATTACATAGGTTTTAAGTGTGGTTCTATTACACATCATCTCTATATTGCATTGTATGCCTGCCATCCAAAGTCAATTTTTTATCTCCAGGTATTTGACACCCTTTAAACTTTACTATTCTTTTCACCCTCATTCCCTAGCAACAGTAATACTATTGTCTGTGTCTGTGAGTTTTCGTTTTTCATGTTTGTTCATTTGCTGTTTTTGATTTTATATCCCACATAAGAGTGAAAGCGTATGGTTCTAGTTTCTTCTGTCTGACTTGTTTTGCTTTGCATGATATTCTCACTATTCATGTTGTCACAGGTGGCAGTATTTCATTTTTTCTTATGGCTGAGTAATAGTTCATTATATATATAGATTTTTATATATAAAGATTTTTATTTATTTATCTTTAGAGGGGAAGGGAAGGAGAGAGGGAGAGAAATACCAATGTATGCTTGTCTCTTGTGCATCCCCTGCTGGGAACTGGCCTGCAACCCAAGCATATGCCTTGACTGGGAATCAAACCGCAATCCTTTGGTTTGCAGGCCTGCACTCAATCCACTGAGCTACACCAGATGGGGCCTTAGGAAGTTTTTGATGGTTTCAATTTTCTCACCCCTGTTCAGTCTTTTTAGATTTTCTAGTTCTTTGTGATTCAGTCTAGGAAGGTTACAGATTTCTAAAACTTACCTGTTTTTTCCCTATTATTGAATTTGGCGGCCTATAGTCTTTTAGAGTATTTTTAATTATCCTTTGTATTTTGGTCTTATCAGTGGTAACGTCTTCCCTTTTATTTCTCATTTTATTTACTGGAGTCTTTACTCCTTTTTTTTTTTTTTTAGTGAGTCTAGCTGGGTTTGTCAATTTAAGTACTAGTTCTTTGTTAAATTAATTTTTGTATAGTTTTTTTGTTGTTGTTGTTCTTTCATTCAATTCTACTCTAATTTTTACTATTTCCTTCTGCAGACTTTGGGCTGCTTTTTTCTTCTTTTTCTAGTTCTTTAAGATTAGTGTTAGGTTGTTTTCTTATGATTTTTCTTGAGATAAGCCAGTGACTCTTATCACTGGCTTAGCAGAAATCTTTCAGGATGCTTTGGGTTCTCGCTGTTCTCTTCTTTTGCTCCACAGGAAGTTCCTCTCGCCGAGTTGAAAATGAGGTCATTTCTCTTGCAGGGCATGTTTAGTCACCTCATGTGCACTTTTGTCCATATATCTTAGTATTTCTTTAAAATTTTTAGTTCCTATTTTCCCCTGTGAGGTCAGTTAATGATGGCTACATGTGAGTGACATGATGTCCTCTGTCCTTATATAGGCCCCCTATACACCTTTTCTTACTGAATTGATGTACCAGAATCTTAAGATGCTGATTGACCCCGTTTCTGTCCAGGACAAGGATACATGCAGCATCCACTACCTCATGCTGCCCCGTGTTCGGTAAGAATAAAATACATGTAAGCTTGACTGGGCCATGGGAAGGGAAGTTGTCAGAGATGTACTGGAGTGAGGGCCCTAGTCACTTTGTGTCCTGGTTCTCACCAGAGCTACTTCTCAGGTTACAGATTTGGGGGTAGGGGATGCTCAGTGTGGAACCACCTATAGTGCTGCATGCTTCCACATATCTGGAGTGTGAGCAGGTCTGTTGGTGTCACCTTGGGAACCTGCTGGGTATAGTGAGCAGGAGGCTCAGGCTTACTGCCTGCTCCTTGCCATATTCTCAAGGCCAGCTCATGTCGTTCTTCCCCAGGTGCTTCACTGGGAGACCTCACCACACCATCATATCTTTAACCTGACCATCTTCCTTCATTTAAGCATGGCTGTTATTTAGGATTTTTTTCCTTTTAAATCTAATGTCTTTTACATCCCTACCTCTTCTAATTAGAGAGGAATTAATTGACAAGAACATCGAGAGTGCAGTTTCTAGAATGCAGTCTGTCATTGAACTTGGGCGAGTGATTCGAGACCGCAAAACTATTCCAATAAAGGTTTGAGATCTTATTTATTTTACATTGCACAGTCCTAAATGTCTATGTCTGAGTATTTTCTTAGTACAGAGAACTTCCAGCAATGGCATAAATTTTCAATTCCTTTTACAGTAAAGGTATGAATGACTTAGTTCTAGTTGAACTTAATTTTGAGTCTTAGAACTTGACTTTCAGATAAAATATTTAATGTTCCATATTTTCTACAGTTTTGAGGATTGGCTGCTTAGTGAACTTTTTGTCTTTTCCTCCTAGTATCCTTTGAAAGAAATTGTCGTTATTCATCATGATCTGGAAGCTCTTAATGATATCAGGTCTCTGGAGAAGTATATCATTGAGGTAAGGCAGATGACTTACTTCTTTGGGTTTAAGTAGGATTCTTTTCAGAAGATTATTTCAATTAGGAAACTGCAATAAATTACACTTTGAGTATATAATTTATCCATTGTGTACATCTTTATATACATAAATTTAATTATCCATGAAATTTTACTCTCAGGATCATCATGAATTTTTACACTGTTATTGGAATTCTTTAAAAGTGATTTCATAATCAATGAGTTTCTTTAACTTAGTTGGGTCATTTATACCTTCATCTACTTTTCTTCTTCTTAGTACTTTGTGCTTAACAAAAAACTTTGTTCCTTCAAATTGTATAAGTAACGAGTGAACACATTAGTTGTGAACAGTTCAGCACTAGCATACAGTAAAAGGTGAGTCCCTTCTGTTCCATTCACCCCATGGAATCTCAACCCCTCCTGGGATGTTCCCTAGGGTAGTTCCTGCAAGGGTTCTTTCTAGCATTTTAGACACATATACACACACATCACTGGCTTTGTGCCTACAGAGGATTATGTATATAACTTGCTTTTCTTCACTTACAATTTCATAAAAGGTATCTTGTATTAAAAACATAAAGATCTACTTTATTCTTCTTACAGGTGCATAATGTTCACTTTTTGGCTGTATCATAATTTATTTAATGTATCTTGTGTTGTAGGAAATTTAGCTTTTTCATTGTAAACAAAAGGTTTGTGTGTAACTTTGTGTCTGTGCTATAGAATGGATATTGGATAGATTCCTAAAAGTAAAGCATGAGGTCAAAAGTTAAACTAGTGTCAGTTGTCCTCCCAAAATGCCTTATTCCATGATGTTTCAAAAACAAATGTACCATATTTCAAATTTCATTTATATTTTTACTGGTGATACTTAAATTTATTATTGTAAAAATATTAACTTCTGTGTTGGATTTAATTGCTTAAGTATTCCAGACAAATATTAGAACTAAAGAGCTATAAATTTTGTAATTGATGCTTATAGATATGGATAAAAATAGGATATTTTAAGTAGAATATCTTAATCACTGTGGAATCACCTAACACAGGTTAAGTGTAATGGCAAAACTAGGCACCTCCCTACAATTTGCTTTAGTTATATATCCTATCCTGTCATCAGTTACTGCTGCATTAGTAATTTTTTTTCAAAGATTGTGTTGATTTATTTTTAGAGAGAGGGGAAGGGAAGAAGAAAGAGAGGGAGAGAAACAGTGCGTGCTTGCCTCCCCTACTGGGGACTTGGCCCATAATTCAGGCATGTGCACTGACTGGGAATCAAGCCAATGACCCTTTGGTTCACCAGCCCTGGCTGGTGTAGCTCAATCCCCTGAGCAACACCAGCCAGGGCTGCATTAGTAATTTTTGACTAGTGTAATAGAGACCTGAAATGTTTTGATTAAGTTATTCTTCTGGATAGTTAGCCTTTTCTTACACTGAAATTACTTGACCAAACTTTATCCCTGAGATATGAAGTTCAGATTCCTAATTCTGAAGTCATTTTTAATTGAGTTATGTTCAACTCTCTTGACTGATCTAGGCAGGAAAGGTTTTTTATACCATGCAATTCAGTGGTTTTTAGTATTATTTATAGAGTTGTATAACCATTCAGCACCATTTTACATTTTCATCAGTGCATAAAGAAACCCTGTATCCTGTAATGCTCATGCACCCTTCCCCCTCAGGATCCCACCATCCCTATCAACCATGAATCTGTTTTCTGTCTCTGGGTACATCTACCTACTCTGGACATTTCACATGAATAGAATCATATGCTATATTGTCTTTTGTATCAGACATCTTCAACTTTATTCATGTTATAGCATGAATTATTACTTAATTTCTTTTTTTTAATTATGTTTTATTGATTATGCTGTTACAGTTGTCCTAACTTTTCCCCCTAGCCCCCCTCTATCTAGTACCCCCTACTCCCTCAGGCAATCCCCCCATCATTGTTCATGTCCACAGGTCATGTGTATGTTATTTGGCTACTCCATTTTCTATACTTGTACTTTACACCCTGGCTATGTTGTAACTACCTATTTGTATGTAGTTACTACCTCTATCTAGTACCCCCTACTCCCTCAGGCAATCCCCTCACCTCTAAACCCATTCTTATCCTCCCCACTCCCATCTGTGAACCATCTGGTAACTAACTCCTTCTTTTCTCTTGCTGCTTTCAAGAGTCTCTCTTTATCTGTAAGCTTTGGCTGTTAATTACGATGTGTCTTGGAATGGGCCTCTTTGCATCCATCATAATTGGGATTCTCCATGCTTCCTGGAATTGGCATGTCTATATCCTTCACCAAATTAGGGAAGTTTTCTTTTACTATTTTCTCAGAAAGATTTCCAATTTCTTGGTCTTTCTCTTGTCCTTCTGGCAACCCTCTGATGTGAATGTTGGACTTCTTTAAGTTGTCCCAGAGGCTGTTTATATTGTCCTTGTGTTTTTGGATCCTTTTTTCTTCTTGTTGTATGGTGTTTTTTGCTTCCTTGTATTTCACATCATTGATTGGTTCTCGGCTTTATTTACTCTTCTGTTGTCCCTGAAAGTTGTTCTTTAATTCAATTAGTGTATCCTTTGTTTCTCACTGGGTCTTTGTTGTGTGGCTGAGGTCCTCACTAAGTTCCTTGAGCATCCTTATAACCAGTGTTTTGAACTCTGCATCTGATCGATTGCTTATCTGCATTTTGTTTGGTTCTTTTTCTAGAGTTTTGATCTGTTCTTTCACTTGCGCCACATTTCATCTTCTCTTTTTGTTAGCGGCCCTGTGTTTGCTTCTGTATATTAGGTAGAGCTGCTTTGATTCTATGTCTTGGCGGTATGGCCTAATGTAGGTGTCCCATAGGATCCAGTGGCACAGCCTCCCCTCTCACCCAAGCTAGGTTCTCAAAGTGTGCCCTTCGTGTAGGCTTAGTACACGCTCTTATAGTTGAGCCTTGGTCGCTGTTGGCAGATCAATAGTAGGGATCTACCCAGGCCAGTCACCTACAAGGACTGGGTGTGACCACTTACTATCAACCTCTGCTCTCTATGGAGGATCAGCTGTGCAAGGCAGGGTGGTGGTGCTCCAACATGGTCTGTAGATGTCCACTGGGTCTGGGTTTTCCCAGGTGGTGCAGACCAGGGTTAGCCCTCACCTGTGTTTTCCCCAGGGCACCCTGCCTGAGCTATAAAACAATCTGAGATGGTCTCTACTTATGCTGGTCTTGGAGATTCCCAGGAAAAAACAAGCTGTGAATCCTGCTGCCACTGAGGCCCAAGAAGCCAACTGTTTCTTATTTGATAAGATTTAGGAACCAAGACCAGCCCATTCTTATGGAAAAGTAGCTTGGGTAGACCTGTAAGTTGGGTGGAACATAGCCTCTGGGGATCTAAAAGGCTGGTCAAACAATGTTGGCCAGGTTGATGAAGTCTCAAATATAGCACCAACTTGCAGTCACTGTAGGGGGAGGGTTTAGAAAAGGGACAGTGGTGCCTTCTCTTCTTCCTGCTAGGCACTTCAGTTTCTCCCTGTATTCCACTAATGCCCTTCAAGCTGCTGCCCTGGTGCTTGAGCTCAGAGGGAGTGAGTTGGAGTATGTTAGTCCTTTTGTAGGTTCTTTAAGAGGAACTGTGTGGGACTCCCAACAGTTTTTTCCAATGACTCAATCCTTGCTGGTTTTTATAGCCAGAAATTGTGGGGACTTATCCTCCTGGCATTGGAATTTCTGGGCTGGGGGGCCTGGTCTGTGTTTGGGACTCCTCACTCCCACGAAATGCCAGCCGAATTTTTATCTACATGGGTATGGGACCAGCCTGTTCCTCAACTACACTCCTCCTACCAGTCTGGATGGGTGTGGTTTCTTTAAATCCAAAGTTGTCAGACTTCCATTCAACTTAAATTCTTGGTTGTCATATTCCCATTCAGCTTGATTTCTTATGTTCCTGCGTGATGGTTGTTCTACATTTTAGTTGTAATTTTGATGTGGTCGTGTGAAGAGGCAAACCAAGTCTGCCTAAACCGCCATCTTTGCCAGAAGCCAGTGCTTCATTTTTTTTATATTGCTAAATAATAGTCCATTTTATAGACAGACTGTATCTTTTATCCATTCACAGCTGAACCTCTTTTTATTTATTTTGAATAATGTTGTAAGAACATTTGTGTGCAATATTTTTGTGGACACGTTTTCCTTTTTCTTATTTTCTTTCTATGTTGTCCACCAACCATAGGAATTGAATGTTCGAAAAGTTACACTGTCTACAGATAAAAACAAGTATGGTGTTCGCCTAAGGGCAGAACCCGATCACCTGATCCTAGGGAAACGTCTGAAGGGAGCCTTCAAGGTGGTGATGACATCCATCAAGCAGCTGAGCAGTGAGGAGCTGGAGCAGTTCCAGAAGAGTGGTGGGTATCAGTCTGATGGGAATCTGAGCCTAATGAGGCTTTTGACATTTATTATAACTTTTTCTTTCCAAAAACTCTCTTATCTATAAAAATGTTTATTAGATATAATTCTGATAAGTTAGAAAACCTTAAATAGGCAATAAAAATTATCCCTAAGCCATCACACATTCATTTAGTATAGGGTGAGTGCCTTCCTTCTGCTGGTTAATATGTTTGTTAGGTGCTGGGGCACTGTTAAAATTCTGATTCATTTTCTTTTAGTTACAAATATAGTCATATTATTGTCAAATATAGTCACATTATGAAACATCACACTATAATTTTAAATTTTGCTTTGTTTTCATTCATTTTAACATTTTGTTTTTCTTTTGCTTTTTTTTAATATTATGTGTTACTATGTGTTTATATTAAAATGCTATTTCAATAACTGTATACTTGCCTTCATATGGATACCCGATTATGGTTTTAATCAGTCTTTTATTGTTGGTACTTTAGCTTATTTCCATTCTTTTAATATTACAAGTAATATTTCACTGTATATTTTCATGTAAATGTTTTATGAAATTAATTTCTTTGGGCTGAATTTTTAGATAGAAATTACTGAAACAGATGGTTGGCCCTTAGGTTATCATTGAATTTAAAAAAGAAAAGATTTGGTGACTTTTGGAGGCATCAGAATGAACCCCGGGAAACATTCAGAAAAAAGATTCAAGTATTTTTAGAGAAAAAATTTAGCGTTGAGGTGTAGAACATTTTGTAAAAGAGAACTAGTTCAGAAATTATCACAGTTTCTCTTAAAATATATCGAATCCATATTTTGGTGTCTTAATTAGGCAAGGCTGGTTTTGTTCACTCAGCACATATTGTTTAAAGCCCTTCTATTTGAGTTTCATAAGACAGCCAATCCTCACCCTCACTGTGCTGGCAGAAATGGAAGATTTATGGAAGTAATCATAAGTTTTGTAACTGCTCTGAAGCAAATGTATAGGACATTATGAGGAAATAAGACTCAGCTCTCTCTTAACCCTCTGCTTTCCATGTGTCCACAAGTTCTCAGCGCTGTCTTGATTAGAATAATACTTGGTCTTATTGCTGCTTGACATTCTGCAGCTGTCCTGGGGCACAAGGTGTCTAATTGGTAGTACTCCCTCTGAAGTTGAAAATCATAAGCACAGAGGTGACATGAAAAGAGATTTAAAGACTCAAATCAGATGAGTGATTTTGAAAATTGGGAAAAGTTCCCCTAAGATTACTCAACTTGTTAGATAAAATTTATCTGACACACTTACATGAGTTGTTAGCAACTAAAACTTGAGTACATAACTAATTTCACTTGCCATAGTAAGTTAATAAAAATCTTTGATCAGCCTTTCAGTCACAAATCTAAGTTGTTTCACCAGGTAGCCAAAATATCAAAAATTTCTGAAATTCATCTTTTTTGAAACCAAAAGACAATAATTTTTAAACTGTATTTCCTGAATAGACTGTTCTGACCTGATGGAAGACAAAGATCATTTTCAGAACATAGTGCCATGATGTGAGAATGGCAGCCCACTGCTCAGAGACCAGGAACATCATTGTTGGTAATTACAGTGGGCTTCCTGAACAAGGGGGTTTTCCCACCCTGAGCTCTGTAAATTCTCTGCCTGTGGTGGATAGGCATGACCCTCAGAGTGTCACACTGTTCACCTTATTTAACCTGCACCCTGCTTACACATAATAAAACACCATAGTCCTACTCTCATTGAGTGGTGGGCCTGAGGCCAGTTTGACTCTACAGACTGCATTTTTCATTACATCATGAAGTGTGTATTTATGATGGGAATTCATGGCATCCTGGCACATGTCTTTGAATCGAAGTTTTTATACAACTGTAGACATTGGGTCAGGAGGACATGATATCTTAAAGCTTCTGTAGCTTAATACTATGAATTTTTTTTGTTAAAAGGTGGCACATTATACTTAAAGCAGGGCAGCTTGAGTAGGAGAAAGGACTAATTGAGTAACAGTGGCTATTGCTTCTCTAATAGGAACCATTTTTGTGGGAGGCCATGAATTACATGAAGAAGATATTCGTCTCATGTACACCTTTGATCAGGCAACAAGTGGGACAGCACAGTTCGAAGCACACTCAGATGCTCAGGTATTTTCTGTTCCCCTAGAGCATTTCTTTACCAGAAAGTAAGACATACTCCTTTCCTGAAATGTTGATAGCATGTCTCAGGATAAAGTAAAGCAGTTATTCATTTTAGATTGTCTTAATTAAACCCCTCTATTATATGCTTTTTACATATTCATTTCTTTAACCAATGCATAAATATATGTTTTGTATGTGAGTAATTGTCCCAAGTGTTGGATCACACTAAAATGAATAGGATGTAATGTAATCTCACCCTTCGAGTGGTAAGTCAGTTATGGAGACCAGAAAGTAAGCTAGTTGTTTTCTGCCTGATAAATTACCTGGTAGAAGTAAGTACTGAGAATACTTTCTTTCTAAAGTGTGGGGTAGAGCGCTGACTGGTATGACTCAGTGTGTTGGTTGAGTGTTGTCCCTCAAAGTAAGAAGTTGCTGGTTCAATTCCCAGTCAGGGCATATGCCTGGGTTGCAGGTCAGGTCCCTGTTTGAAGGCGTGCAAGAGGCAAGCAATTGATGATTCACTCTCACATCAGTGTTTCTCTTCCTCTCTTTCCCCCTACATCCCCTTGCTCTAAACATTAAGTAATTAAATAAAATCAAAGTGTGGGGTAGAGCTAAGGGTGTTTAGGGAGTGCTCTTTGAAGAATGTGTTCAAGCAGTTTTGTATTCTGGGGCCAGTATTTTTCATTGTGATGGAGCATAGCATCCCTTTTGGCTCCTGATCAGACTTTTCTGGGCAGATAGGTTCTAAGACCTCCAGTGTGGGAGTAGTGGGCTTGCTGGAGTCCCTCTGTACCTAACATTTCAAGATTCAGTGGGAGGTGGGAGTACCTTATGTGACCTGGCCAACCTCCTCGGGGCTTACATTAGGTGTAGTCTCTGTGTGGTGTGGGCAGACTGGTATAAGGAGCCAAAGGTGAGGAAGCTACAAAAGAAGGGAGAGGGAGTACAGGGAGGATGGTAAACACTGAGATGGTACAGTTCTTCCCAGCCCCAGTCAATGTAAGGGAGAGCCTGAAGAAGTGTTCTGCTTGACTTAAGGAAGTGTCATTATGGGCTGTGGTGGCGCTGCCCTGACTCATCCTCCATTTCCCATTCTGCTTTCTGTGCTTTCGTGAAGCTTAACTTCTCTGATTGACGTAAATGGTGATGTTACCTAATTTACTTGCTTATCCCCTTCTAATAGAAGTGAAACATACTATTAGTACATCATCATCACGATCTTCAGAACATATAAGATAGTAAAGTAGACAACGTTGACAAGAAGATGGTAAACTACTGTATTTTTCAGTCATAAGATGCACCTAGGTTTTAGAGGAAAATAGGAAAAAAATTTGAAGCAAAATATATGGTAAAATATTTAATAAAGTAAACAGTATAGTATTTCACCAATGCAAATGTAAACAGAACTCAACAGCAGCATTTACAACCATTATTCCTCCCAAATCGAGGGGGGGTGTTGGGGGTTGGGGGAGAGCATCTTATAGTCTGAAAAATACAGTAACTCGAAAAAAATACTGTGGTTCATTTCAGAAATTATTTTTTTAATCACACTAGTAAACCAGACAATAAAAAGGGATCTTGTTTTAAGACATAACAGGTGGCTGCCTTTAATCCACTTGTTTATTATGGGTCCATTGTGAAAAGCTGCTCTAAGGACTTCATGACCATTGACAAAAAGCAGAGTTGAAAGACCAACAAAAGCTGGTCTCAGGATCCTTTGTGAGCAGCACCCTACAGAAGAAAAATGGAAAGCTACACCTCAAAGGATGAAGCAGTCACTGATTACAAACAAGAACCCAAACTATGAAGAAACTAGATTACCTATGTTCTTGGCTCAGTTTTATGAATATATACTGCTGCATATTAGACTTCTCAGAATTTAGTTTTTAAAGCATTTTGCTGGGTTTGAAAGAACGTTTTTCCTTAAATGATTGTCACAGTGTGCTCTGTTTATTCCTATAGGCTTTGGTTCTCTTAGACATCACCCCTGACCAGTCATTGATGGATGAAGGAGTGGCTCGGGAAGTCATCAATCGCATCCAGAAACTTCGCAAAAAGGTTTGTCAGATTAAGAGCAAACTGCTGTTTTGGAATTTTGCTTAAGTTTTGGTTGTTGGGGAGGATGGGAGAGGTAGGCATTATAAACCATAGTAATCAGTTAATTAAAATTGGTAATGTATAATTCATTCAGATTATACTCTGCAAGAAAGTTAGGCCACTTTTCCTCTCTACTTATTCACTCCCAGGCTGGATGTAGGTACCTTTCTCTGGCTAGGAGCTTTCTGCCAGTCTGTGCCCCTTGTCCTCCTTTTGCCACTTTCCTGGGACTTTGACAGAATCGTCTTACGACTAGTGCAGAAGGTCATCAGAGGTGACAGTGGGTATCTGAAAAAGAATAGAGGTTCAGTCTAGTAAGTGTGGAAGGGCTTCTAGCTCAGGGGAGAGATTGTTTTGATCTGTATAGAAGAGGTGTTTCTTATTTGGGAGCTGGGAGCCAGGGCAGGTAGACAGAGACTATTGCCTGCTCCCACCAGGTAAGAGCTATGGAGCTCCTACTACTAGGAGGGCTCCCACCACCCCGTATCCTTAGGTCAGGTGTTTGAGATTTGGGGTTCACAGTCTCAGGAGGCCACTTCCTGCATACTGAGCTTTGTGAGTGGGTTCTCACTGTTTCACTCCTTTGTTTCAGCGGAGGATTGGGCAGAAGACTATACCTTCCCATAATGATTCAGCATGGGATTGTCAGCGCGTGTTCAACAGCACCTTACATTTTAATTAACAAAGTCCTTGCCTTTTAAATTTTCTGTATGTCCTTATAGTGCAATCTGGTTACAACTGATGAAATAACAGTGTATTACACAGCACAGTCTGAAGGAAATTATCTGAATGCCATTATTGAAAGCCACATGGAGTTCATATTTGCCACCATAAAGGCTCCCTTGAAACCATATCCAGTGCCTACATCAGATCAAATTCTTATTCAAGAAAAAATTCAGGTGAGTTCTGAGTTCTGTTGAACTATTAAGAGATATAGTATTAGATTTTATGTTACGTTTATGTACTAACCTCTTTTTTAAATCTAAGGGATTCTTTTTTTTTTTTTTAAGATTTTATTTATTTTTTAGAGAGAGGGAAAGGGAGGGAGAAAAAAGAGGGAGAGAAACATTGAAGTGAATGAGAAACATCAATTGGTTACCTCTCATACATACCCTGACCAGGAACTGAACCTGCAACCTGTTCATGTGCCTTGACCAGGAATCAAACCAGCGACCTTTTGTTTTGCAGGAACTATGCCCAACCAACTGAGCCATACCAATTGGGATGGTGTACTAACCTCTTGATATTCTGTTCCCTCAGTAGCAATTGGTTTAATATTTAGTTCTGAATTACTTTGGACAGTGGTATATAGGATCAGGAGATGATGTGCAGGATAGGAGAGAGGGAAGGAAGGGACTTCTGTTCTCCTAGCAGCTCTTTTGAGGAAGGTAGCCAGGAAGCATGTAAAAATTGCTAGTATCACATGGCTGTATGGGCCAATTATATCTAAAACTAGGGAAGTCCATAATGTGGATTCTAGGAATTATTGTTGAAGTTAAGTACAATTGACTTGAAAATAGTTAACTTTTAAAGTGGTAGGTTGTGTGTGTGTGTGTGTGTGTGTGTGTATATATATATATATATATATATATATATTCCTAAGGTTTTATTTCCTATTCATACATTTTACATATAACTTTGGAAATCTGATACTAAGACATGGCCAGAAGTTGGACATGTATAATAGGAGAAGAAAATCTATGTCAGCCACTCATTTATTCAATCATTTACTCCTTATCTGTTCCTATTTTATATGGGACAAATGAGGCAGACAAGCAAGGGCTGGAAGTGACTGTCTTTTTAGTGAGGACAATTTACAAGATAGTTTCATTTTCAAGTTTGTATATTCTTTCACCTATAGGTGGAATCTAATCAACAAAACAAATGAGCAAAATTGAATCAGAGACTTGGAAATAAAGAACAAACTGACAGTGCCCAGAGGGGAAGGGGGAGGGGAATAACAGGGGAAAGAAGGAGAAGGGGCAAGCAAAGGAACACAAAAGAGAGGACTCATGGGCATGGGCAATGGGGGAAATTGACTGTGGGAGTCAGGGGAGACAGGGTCAAGGTGAGCAGTGGAGAAAAAAGGCCAGACAAGTGTAACTGAACAACAATAAATTAAAAACAAAAAAAAAATTAAAAATAAAACAATTAGGGAAAAATCAAAGCCCTTTACTATTTTGCTGACGGGATTGAATATGATCTTAGAATTGTAGAAAGTTCTTTATCTTAGAAGAAGTTGTTCCCATGTTATTTGTGACACTGTGGTCAGTTGCTACAGTTACTTAATCATATATTCTTGTGTGCTCAGTTAAAGGGGTCTGACCTGGAGATTACACTCACCAGAGGATCATCCAAGCCTAGCCCTGCTTGTTCATATGTCAATCTTTACATTTGTGGAAATGGCAGTGAGCAAGGTATGAGTAACTGAATTCCATGGGGGTTTCTTTTGGGGGGGTTGTGTTTTTACTTAAACCTATGAATATCTTCGAAGCTATTATAAAAGAATTAGTAAAATAGGATAACTTTTTCTTTTTAATTGTTATCAAAATGAACCCACAAAACTAAATTTTTAGATTTACTCTATTAAGAAGATGGAGCAAAAGTATGAAAGACATACTTTCCCCTATTTCTCCCACAAAGTACAGCCAAATGCCCTGTACATTATATGTAAAAACCAACATGAGAAGACTATTTTGTACTGTTCTCAGTCCATCAATAACCAGTGGTATTGCTAGACCAGCCCTTTTGGTTCTTATGATTAAATACTCTTCAACAATTACCATCAGAAAACTGAAAGGTACAGGTTTCTTACTTACAAAACCTGGAAATTACACAACACACGTGGGGCCACCCAGCCAGGTTGGGGTTGGTTGCAGGCATGCACATGCATAGACCTGGATTATTGGTGAACTTAAAACATACGAGCAGGATTTCAAAGCATGCAAAGAGAAAACAAGAAGTAGCCAAGTTTTAGATATTGAAGTCAACCAAGAACTCTACAACAAAGGAGCCTCAGTATGAAGAGTTAGTTACTTCTGGCTCGTTGTCTAATCAAGTGGCTGGCAATGCGTTTATTGAAGGTAGCTGTGTTTGAAGTGCATGCCTAGGCAAACAAAGCTTGAATCAGTCACTTGTATTACAAAATAGTGGGGGGGGGGGTGAGTCCAAAAAACCAGGGCTTATATTTTCAGTATTCTTCAAGATGGAAGTAAGAAGGCAAGCTAGCTAGGGACCTTGGGATCAAGCAGCAAAACAGAACTGTGTTTCCTGAGATTTCTTTTTGCATCATGTATCCCAGACTTGGAGTTAAAGAAGCTGGCAATTTGGAAATGCCAGTGAGCATAGACAAAAACACCCCAACAAAATCCTGCTCTCTCTAGATGAAGGCTCAGTAGAGTGTAACCTTGACCAAGTCAGAAAACTTTTAGATAATAACTGTTCCCCTCCAGCCAACCACAAAAGAAAAAATATTATTACCTCACTACCACTGACACAAAGACCAAGTGGGGAGCCTAGAGTTCTGCCTTTCCCAGGCTAAGGAACTTCAAACCCCCACTGCCATGGTGGTTGTCAGAGAAGACCAAGTAGTAAGCTGGTACTTTTATTTTACCTAGTTGGTAGCTGGACCCTCTTCCCAGTAGTGGCAGTGTAGATCACATGGAGGGCCTGCACTTCTTCCCCACCAGCCAGTACTAAGGCATCTCTTCCCCTCACCATTCCCTGTGGTAATGAGGTAATTCAACACCCATCACCCTGGAGAAGTATCATTAAGGGCCACATGGGGAGCAGTAGGCAGGCAATTCAACTCTTTGAGGCCTAAAGAAAAGTTGGAACTCCCTCAGTCCATCACCAGCCCCCAATTTCCAGCAATGACAAGGAATGTCAATGATAGGGAACCTAGACATACCCTGTCATCAAGCAATAATGAAGCAATACCATCTTTCCCCACCAATGTGATGTCCAAGTCAGCTACAATGGATGGTTAAATTAAGAACCAGAGTCTCAGAAAACCTAGTTGAAAATTATTCATCTTACCAAGAAATCAGGAAGTTCTTAAACTAAATGAAATAGGGCATTCAATACATATGAACATTTAGATAACAGAAATTTTGAAATTACTCGACAGAATATAAAGTGGCCTTAATAAAAATGCTTCTGAGAATAATTACAAACACAGTAGAAACAAATTAAAAGTAGAAAGTCTCAGCAAAGAAATGGAAGTTATAAAATCACTTGAGAATTTTAGAAATGAGAAATATAACTGCAATACAAAAATCTCAGTAGATGGCTCAACAACAGAATAAAAGAGATGAGAAAACGTCTGTGGACAGGATAATACAATAGGAATTACTCGTTCTGAAGGACAAGAGTTAAAAATACTTGATTATTGTTTAAAAAAAAGACATTAAAAGAGATTTGTCTACGGGTGTGTGTGTATTCTTGTTCTTCTCTAATTCCCCAACACGGCATCTAAGACAATGCCACTGTATTTCCTCTAGTTCATCCAAGTTATGATAAACCCACCAGATCACACCATGGACTTTGGTAGGAGAGTAAATGATAAACACCAAAATGAAAGTATTTTAATGTGGTTTAATTATTTAACGTTCCTAAGTGGGGAAAATAACTGGGGGGAAAGGAACGGGGCCTCAAGGATCTGTAGGGTAATAAGAAAAGTTGTATATTCTTGTCCCTTAATTCTGATAGAAAGAGAAGACAGGACAGAACTTTAAAAAGTATTCAGAGAAATATGACCAATAACTTGTGATACTTGGCAAAAGACATTAATCTACAGATTCAAGAAGCCGAGGGAACTGCATACAGTAAAAACCCAAAAGAATCTACATAAAGAAAACACAGTCAAACTTAGTAGAACTTAAAACATCTTGAAAGCAGAGATGTGCAACACCTAACTTAGAGGAAGGAACATTTGAATAATGCTGGATTTCTCCTCAGAAACTATAAAGGCCAGAAGGTGAAAAGGACATTTCTGAGATGCTAAAATATGTGTAGTATCTACCCAGAATGATACCAAGCAAAACTTTCTTTCAGGATGAATAGAAAATAAAGGCATTCTCAAATAAAGGAAAAGTAAAAGAATTTGTTACTGGTTATATATGTATTATATTCGACCCACTGCAACCACTAAAGGAAAAAAAAGCCTATACCAAAAGGTACATACAGAAACATTAGACAAAAATGGAATGATATGTTCAGTTAAGCCACAGGAAGCTTAGGGAAAGAAAACCAAACAAATAGCAGAAAATAAGTTTTAAGACTTAAAGTTAACATCAGTAATTACACTAAATGTGGATGGTTTAAACTGACAGTAATGCAAACACATTACCAGCTGTAAATATAAAAATCATATAAAATGTATAAATATATATTTTTTTGCCAAATTGTGAGGCAGGTGATAGGCAAAAAGGAAAGGTTTATTCAGGTGCCATACAACCTGAAATAATGGTGGACTCCTGTCTCAAAGACCAATTGAATTCTCCAGTTAGCCCACAGTTTTTATAGGGATAGATAGGGGAGGGCTATGTTCCTAATCCAATTATCTTTCTAGCTTTTGACTTCCTTGGACACTATCCATGTTCATCTAGCTTTCAGCATGCTCAGGTCCTATCCACCTATCTTTTTAGCTTTCCATGTATGCTCAAGCCCTGCCCATTTATATCTATAGCATTTGACATGTTTAGTATAAAAACTTCCCCTTGCCACTGTCTTGACCAGTGGTCAGAGACTATCCTGGTGCTCCCACTGACTATTTTATGATAACTTTCCCCCTTCAATGCCCCCTCCCCCCTTTACAAGGGTACATTGTCAAAGATCTTACTCTTCTGTGGTTACTCCTTCCTGGCAGAGGACATAATCTTACTAATCTCTGGGTCCACAGATTCTTACTAACAAAGGAGTAAGGGAGTCAGGAATGGAGGGAATCCTTTACATGAGGGAGACAAATTGTTGTTTTTGGAAGGCAAGCATATGCAGTATCTTGGAACATGGCAGTGTTTCATGTTTCAAGAGGCAGTTTAGCAGATGGGCTTCCAAAAAGAGATCTGTTCTACAAACAGTCAAGTGAAGGGTGGGAAACTAGAGAGACTAAAGAATCCCCATGATCTAACCCTGGACAGGGCTTTGGCCAGAAACTTCCCACAGCTGAATAAATGTGCTGAAGAAACCACTATAAGAAGGAAAAGAGATAAAAAGTAACATTGTCACTTTATGCTGGGAGCCACTGTCCCTCTGAAAGAGGAATTTTAAATCATCTTCATGAGTATAGGTCCATCTTCCCCCTCCATATCAACAGCAGCTGCTGTTTTCCTCAGGCAGTGCCTACTTTATTTGTGTATGGTAGAGCCAAGGCTTGATTCCCTTGAGGTTTAAGAAAGAGAGTGGTATGAATAGGACATCATAGGCACCAGTCCATTGCTCAGCTAACTGCTCTTTAGGGTCTTGTCTTCCTGGTCTTTAGTAAGACTGTTTCCCAGCTGTAATGCATGTAAGGGACGGTCAGATGGGTAGATGGACCTGGAATGAGCAAACTTGTGCAAAATTGTTACTGTTTGCCCTACATGGTGTACATATTGTTTCACGCCCCTACATGGTGTACATTTTTTATTCACGCTCTAAATCTGAAGGGGGTGTTCCTAAAACAAATTTGCGTCTCCCATAAACTATTTGAAAAAGGCTTAACTTAAGCCCACTTTAGGGTGCAACCCTAATTCAGAGCAAGGCAGTAAAGAATGCCAGGTCCCATTTCAAATGTGTTGCCTGTCTTATATTTGCCTGGGTCTTCTTTACTGCTTTTTATTTTCTTAGTCTTTCCCATAGATTTGAGGTCTCCCAGATGCATGTAGCTTCCATTGCATCTGTAGTATCTTTCCTATCTTCTGGTAGACTTCCGAAGTGAAGAGTGGTCTATTGTCACTATTAATGCAGTGAGGAAGTCCAAACGAAGGATTATTTCTTTATGTAGAAGCTTTACTACCTCAGTTGCCTTTTTGGTTCTATTTGGGTATGCCTCCACCCATCCAAAAAAAGTGTCCACAAAAACTAATAAAAATTTAAAGTTCCCTCTGGTTTTTGGCATCTGTGTAAAGTCAACTTGTGAGTCTTTAAATGGGCAAATCTCTCTGTATTATACTTCCTTTTTCATTAGGGTAAGTTCTGTCTTAGGGCTGTTTTCGGCATATATCTGGCAGGCTTGGATAATTCTCTGGATGGTCCTTTGCAAATGAGGGCCCTTCAAGCATAGTCTGTTGAGGTCCATTAAAGCAGCTCTTTCATAATGGGATCCTTTGTGTAAGTGTTTGAGGATGGGATACACTAGAGCTTCAGGGAATAAGATCATACTATGAGTGTTGATCTTCTGTATTGAATTAGGGTCAGTATTAGAAAATCTCTATTC